GTTAAAATTGGATCAGAGATAGTAGGAACTGCAGATGCTGGAGAATCCGAGACAACAAGGTGCAGGGCTGGATGAACACAGCAGCCAAGCAGCATCTGGTAAATCTTCATTGCACAGTTTTGCCACTCGTTTGAAGACTAGTTCTGACCTATAGTAAATGTGCTATTTTTGAGTTTATTGGAAAGGTCTGGTGAAAGTCTCTGTTATTCTAGTTAACAGCAATAAAGGCAAAAAAAAATTGACCATTCGGGTAACTGAATAAAACATTTGCACTCTTGGTATGGCACATGGAGAAGTGGGTTCAATTTCTAGTGTGGTCCTCCCTCCAGCGTCATAAGACTACCAAGAGGGAATCATCTACTTTGCCCTTGTTTGATTGGCCAGTACGGAGAGATCCTTGCAGGCCACTGGTCTCCCAACTTTCATTGAGCCCCAGTAATGTCAACCCAGCCAAGTGAAGTCCAGGGCATCAATGGGCAGTGCAGGTGGACCACCAGCTCCCTGCCCTTAACTCAAAGGGCAGCGCTCCTCCCAGTTATTGCCCCTCGCAGGAAATAGATCGATCTGCCAGATGGAAATTAAGACTCGTTCCTCCCTGAACTGTAGTCCCATTTGAGTTAACAACATCCCTCATTACCACAGTGAAGCAACGAAACCTCTTCTGCTTGCTTGATTTTGATGGGCGACTTTCTTGAATCACTTTGGCCTGTCAAGGATAAAAGACTAGTGAGGAATTTTAAGAAAAAAATCTCCCGCTCTCCCTTATATTGTTTGCCCTTTGTTCCTTTCTGTCTCTTGTCAGATGGCCCAGCTTAGAGGGAGATTGGGACAATTATTTCCATCGCCGAGGTGTGAGAAACCTCCAGGTGAGGGCCTGTTCTGGGCAGACTCAGCCTCCGGGTTCCCTTTTCACATCCCTTAAAGGGTTGCCCATCCTGGTAACTCAATGAAAGCCAATGTACAGAAGACCTGTGCTCTATCTCACTGAGCCCTCGGGAGCAGGGTTAGGCGCAACAACAGCCCCAGGAGGCCACTCCCTTCAAAGTCCCATTACCCTTTGAGGAGGCTCAGCAGAGATGGCATTTGAAGTTGCCGCTTGAATGGGTGTAGGGAAAGCCCCCAGTGTCATACCTCTTCATTCTCGATGTTGATGTTGTCTTCTCGGTGGAACTGCTGGGTATCTGGAGGTTGAGCATCTGTAATAAAGATCCAACAAATGTGGGGTGGGTGGCCTTTGTAATAATTTAGTACTGTGTTCAATTCTGGTCAGCAAGCTTAAAGGGTTAATGAATGAGGACAGGTTACACAGGTTCCCTCAAGCATTGAAGATCACATGTGTCCAATTGAGGCATTTAGGGTGATTATTGAATTTGCTAGGATGGATGGAGAGAAATTACTTTCTCCCTTTGAAGCACTTCAGACTATGAGGCAACATCGAGACATTCTTAAGCCAAACCACCCAGGGATGATGTCAAAAAACAGTTCTTCATTCAGAAGGGAGTGGGAATTTAGAGCTTCTGCTAATCCTCATGTGTGTGGATGTTGGAGGGTCAACTGAAAATGTCAAAATGGAGATGCTTATCAGGAGAGCTGGTTCAGAAATGATGGGCTGAATAGCCTGCTTCTGTGAGATTGATAGGATGTAGTTGGGTAAAAGGGATATTAAGTGTTACAGAAGTGAGGCGGATACATGGAGCTAAAATACCGATCAGCCCTGGGACAACTGAATGATAGAGCAGGCTGGAATGTCCTCCTGCTGTCCTGGCATTCTCACTGAGAACATGAGTAATCGCAGACAACAAGGTGCAGGGCTGGATGAACACAGCAGGCCAAGCAGCATCATAGGAGCAGAGAGGCTGACGTTTCGGGCCGAGACCCTTCATCAGAAAAGGGGGAGGGGAAGGGGGTTTTGAAATAAATAGGGATAGAGTGGGAGGCGGATAGAAGAGGGATAGAGGAGAGGATAGGTGGAGAGGAAACAAATAGGTCGAAGAGGCGGGGATGGAGCCAGTAAAGGTGAGTGTAGGTAGGGAGTTAGGAAGGGGATAGGTCAGTCCAGGGAGGACGGACAGGTCAAGGGGGCGGGATGAGGTTGGTCGGTAGGAGATGGAGGTGCGGCTTGAGGTGGGAGGAGGGGATAGGTGGGAGGAAGAACAGGTTAGGGAGGCAGGGACGAGCTGGACTGGTTTTGGGATGCGGTAGGGGGAGGGGAGATTTTGAAACTTGTGAAATCCACATTGATACCATTGGGCTGCAGGGTTCCCAAGCGGAATATGAGTTGCTGTTCCTGCAACCTTCGGGTGGCATCGTTGTGGCACTGCAGGAGGCCCAGGACGGACATGTCGTCTGAGGAATGGGAGGGGGAGTTGAAATGGTTCGCGACTGGGAGGTGCAGTTGTTTATTGCGAACCGAGCGTAGGTGTTCTGCAAAGCGGTCCCCGAGTCTCCGCTTGGTTTCCCCGATGTAGAGGAATCCACACCGGGTACAGCGGATGCAGTATACCACATTGGCAGATGTGCAGGTGAACATCTGCTTGATGTGGAAAGTCTTCTTGGGGCCTGGGATGGGGGTGAGGGAGGAGGTATGGGGACAGGTGTAGCACTTCCTGCGGTTGCAGGGAAAAGTGCCGGGTGTGGTGGAGCTGGAGGGGAGTGTGGAGCGGACAAGGGAGTCACGGAGAGAGTTGTCCCTCCGGAAAGCAGATAAGGGTGGGGAGGGAAAGATGTCTTTGGTGGTGGGGTCGGATTGCAGATGGCGGAAGTGTCGGAGGATGATGCGTTGGATCCGGAGGTTGGTGGGGTGGTACGTGAGGACGAGGGGGATTCTTTTTTGGTTTTTATTGCGTGGACGGGGTGTGAGGGATGAGGTGCGGGAGATGTGGGAGACACGGTTGAGGGCGTTCTCGACCACCGAGGAGGGGAAGTTACGGTCCTTGAAAAACGAGGACAACTGAGATGTACGGGAGTGGAATGCCTCATCCTGGGAGCAGATGCAGCGGAGGCGAAGGAATTGGGAATAGGGGATAGCATTTTTGCAGGAAGGTGGGTGGGAGGAGGAGTATTCTAGGTAGCTGTGGGAGTCGGTGGGCTTGAAATGAATATCGGTTTCTAGGTGGTTGCCCGATATGGAGACAGAGAGGTCCAGGAAGGGGAGAGAGGTGTTAGAGATGGTCCAGGTAAAATTAAGGTTGGGGTGGAAGGTGTTAGTGAAGTGTATGAACTGTTCGAGCTCCTCGTGGGAGCACGAGGCGGCGCCGATACAGTCATCAATGTAATGGAGGAAGAGGTGGGGTTTAGGGCCGGTGTAGGTACAGAAGAGGGATTGTTCCACGTAACCTACAAAGAGGCAGGCGTAGCTTGGGCCCATGCGGGTACCCATGGCTACCCCCTTTGTCTGTAACAACTGCACCTCCCAGTCGCGAACCATTTCAACTCCCCCTCCCATTCCTCAGACGACATGTCCATCCTGGGCCTCCTGCAGTGCCACAACGATGCCACCCGAAGGTTGCAGGAACAGCAACTCATATTCCGCTTGGGAACCCTGCAGCCCAATGGTATCAATGTGGATTTCACAAGTTTCAAAATCTCCCCTCCCCCTACCGCATCCCAAAACCAGTCCAGCTCGTCCCTGCCTCCCTAACCTGTTCTTCCTCCCACCTATCCCCTCCTCCCACCTCAAGCCGCACCTCCATCTCCTACCGACCAACCTCATCCTGCCCCCTTGACCTGTCCGTCCTCCCTGGACTGACCTATCCCCTTCCTAACTCCCTACCTACACTCACCTTTATGGCTCCATCCCCGCCTCTTCGACCTGTTTGTTTCCTCTCCACCTATCCTCTCCTCTATCCCTCTTCTATCCGCCTCCCACTCTCTCCCTATTTATTTCAAAACCCCCTTCCCCTCCCCCTTTTCTGATGAAGGGTCTCGGCCCGAAACGTCAGCCTCTCTGCTCCTATGATGCTGCTTGGCCTGCTGTGTTCATCCAGCCCTGCACCTTGTTGTCTCGAATTCTCCAGCATCTGCAGTTCCTACTATCTATGAGTAATCGCAGCTGTTTTCCTTCTGGAGAGTTTACCCAGTGGGTTTCTATACAGGCGTTGGTGAGCGACCCTAATAGTGCTGGCTCAATTCCTATGCCAGCAAGAAGACCTCACCTTCTTAACTTTGCCCCCTACCTGAGGTGTGGTGACCTTTAGGTTAAAACCCCACCAGTCATTCCTCTCTCTAATGAGAGAGCATTTCTGTGGTCCTGTAGGACAACAGTGACTTTACTTTAACATGGACCCCTAGAGAACCATAGAACCCTTCGGCCCAACAAGTCCACACCAACCCTCAGAGCATCCCACCCAGACCCATCCCCCTATAACCCACCTAATCTACACATCCCTGAACACTACAGGCAATTTAGCACAGCCAATCCACCTAGCCTGCACATCTTTGGACTGTGAGAGGAAACACACACAGACACAGGGAGAATGTGCAAACTCCACACAGACAGTCACCCAAGGGTGGAATTGAACCCAGGTCCATGGCATTGTGAGGTAGCAGTGCTAACCACTGAGCCACCATGCCACCCCAAAGAGACTTGGCTCTACATTGCTTGGACTTTGAATATATAATGATAATCAAAGGCTTTTGGAATACTGTGTTCAATTCTGGTCTCCCTGCTATAGGAAAGATGTTGTGAAACTTGAAAGGATTCAAGAAAAGATTTACAAGGATGTTGCTGGGAGAAGCTAAATAGGCTGGGGCTATTTTTCCTGGAGTGTTGGAGGCAGAGGGATGACTTCATAAAATCATGAGGGGCATGGATAGGGTGAATAGCCAAGGTCTTTTCCCCAGGGTAGTGGAGTCCAAAACTAGATGGCATAGGTTTAAAGTGAGAGGGTAAAGATATAAAAGGAATCTAAAGGGCAACATTTTTACACAGAAGGTGATACGTGTATGGAACGAGCTGCCAGAGGAAGAGGTAGAGTCTGGTACAATTACAATTTAAAAGGCATCTGGATGGGTACATGAATAATAAGGGTTTAGAGGGAAATGGGCCAAATGCTGGCAAATGGGACTAGATTAATTTAGGATATCTGGTTGGCACGGACGAATTGGACCAAAGGGTCTTTTTCCGCGTTGTATGACTCTATGACTTCAAAGAGACATAAATGGGTCGGTCGAATGGGTGGAGATGTGGTAGATGTAATTTAGTGCAGAGAAGTTTAATTCTTCCCATCATTTGAATGACAAAATAAACTAAAGGGGTACAACTCTGAAGCGGGTGCAGGAGCAGAGGGATCTGCATTTGTATATACATAAATCATTGAAGGTGCCAGGAAAGGTAGAGAGCACAGTTAGTAAAGCATACAGTATCCCAGGCTTTATTAATAGAGATATAGACCTCACAAGCAAGGAGGTTCTGTTGAACTGGTATAAGACACTAGTCCAGCTGGGGTATTGTGTCCAGTTTTGGGCATCTTACTTCAGCAGAAACGCAAAGCAATTAGAGAGAGCATAGAAAATATTGACAAGAATTATTCCAGGGATGAGGAATTTCTTTCACGTAAATAGATTGGAGAAGTTGGGTCAGTTTTCTTTGGAGATGAGAAGGCTGAGGGGGGATTGATTCAAGGTGTTCAAAATCACGCAGGGTGTGGACAGGGTAAAACTGTTCCCATTGGTGGGAGGATCAAGAATGAGAAAGAACCACTTTAGGGTCATTGGCAACAGAAGCAATGGCGATAGGAGGAGAAACCTTTTCACACAGCAGGTGGTTAGGGCCTGGAATGTGCTGCCTGAGAGCGTGATGGAGGCAGGTTCAGTCGAAGGGGAAGGCAGGGGATGGGCATTCGGTAAAGTGCTCATTTGGAGAGCTGTCACTACCACGATGCCCCAAACGGATCCTTTCTGTGTTGTAAGCATTCTGTACATTTGAATGCATGCTTTCAATCACCAGTGCCTTGATATGTTGGTTGGTGTGTTGGTTTCACGTCCTGAGCCTGATGCATGTGGACAGGGTCAGTGGGGATTTGCTGGGGGGAAGAAAATCCAGGGACCGTCAGGGGTGCATGACAGCAAAGGTGGAGGACAGAATTAGAATCATGAGGATCTGGGAGGTGGAGAGCAGAATCAGAGAATTGTTACAGTCATTTGCACATCAAAGCTTTCAAGGGGGTGGGCTGGGAGGTAACTGACGATAGCATGAGAGGTCGGAAGAGCATGGGAAAGGAAAGGAGGGTCCAGGATAGGAATTTAGAGAGTCCCAAACCTCACCATTCGAGTCTTCAAAATAAGAGATTATCCACAAGCAGACAGATTCGTGGAGGGAAAAGGAGGTTTTGTTTAGCATCTGGCTCTCTGCCCAACCCTAAATGAGGATTATGTTTCAGTCAGATTCAGCAGACATGGAAATGAAAAGTGGAGAAGATTAATTTCCACAGTCTCACAAAGTCAGGGTGTCGAGACCACCAGTGTAAGAGGAAGAGAGTCATAAATTAGAAGGAGCTTTCTGCATCGAGGGTTGTTAAGATGTTTGATCAGCAACATTGAGGGAGGGATAGTGGAGATAGCAAGAACTGCAGATGCTGGAGTCAGAATCAATACAGGTTGGAGTTGGAGCAACACAGCAGGTCAGGCAGCATAAAAGGAGCAGGAAAGCTGATATTTCAGGTCGGGACCCTTCATTAGGACTGGGGAGGGGGAAGGGAAATAGAAATAAATAGAGAGAGGGGGTGGACCTGGGGGAAGGTAGGTGGATGCAGGTAGCACGTAATGGGGATAGGTCAGTGGGAGGGATGGGGTAGATAGGTGGGAGAGAAGATGGACAGGTAGTGTCAGGTCAAGGAGGCGGGCATGAGAGGGAGGGTTGGACATGGGATGAGGCTGGGGGTGGGGAGATTTTGAAACTGGTGAATTCTATGTTGAGGATGTGCAGGATACAACTACCTTTTAACAATATTTGAAAAAAAAAATGCAAAGGATGCAGGGAACAGGCAAGTGAATGTGACTAAAATGAGAGCAGTTTCCAAAAACTTCCACAGGTAAAACATGTAAGTCATCAGGTACAACTAAATGGCAACGGTCTTATATAGATTCAATACGTTCCTTGTATTCATTCATGGGGTAGATGTTGATGGTAAGCTTGATATTTATTGCCCATCACCAATTGCCCTGGAGAAGGTAGTGGTGAACTGGTTTCTTGCCAGACCATTTTAGAGTCAGCCACATCTGGATTCTGGAGCGACATTTAGGCCAGACTAAGTAAGGATGATAGATTGCCTTCCTTAAAAGTCATTAGTAAACCAGATAGAAGCATAGAATCCCTACAGTGCGGAAGCAGTTCATTTGGCCCATCGAGCCCACACCAACCCTCCAAAGCACATCCCACCCAGACCCATACCCCTACCCTATCCCTGTAACCCTGCATTTCCCAAGGCTAATGCACCCAGCCTGCACATCCCTGAACACTGTGGGACAGTTTAGCATGGCCAATCCACCCTAGCCTGCACATCCCTGAACACTGTGGGACAGTTTAGCACGGCCAATCCACCCTAACCTGCACATCTTTGGACTGTGAGAAGAAACCAGAGCACCTGGAAGAAACCCAGGCAGACATGGGGACAATGTGCAAACTCCACATAGACAGTTGCCCAAGGTTGGAATCAAACTGGGGTTCCTGGTGGATCGAGGCAGCAGGGATAACCATTGAGCCCACATGCGACCCTAAGTAAGCTTTTAATAATAAACAGTAGGAGCAATGGTCCACATTAACTTAGACTAGTTTTCAATTGCAGCTTTTATTAAATGAAATAAACTCATCCAGCAATTGTGGTAGGGTTCAAACCCCCAACTGCAGGCTATTAGCTCAGGCCTCTGAATTAGAAGTCAAGTAACATAGCCACTATACTATCATGCCTTGGACAGATACACTCACAAGCACACAAAGGAGTACAGACACATCTACACATGCACAGAATGTAAAGTAAAAATTGTATATATAATACAGGTACAAACGCAAAATTACGTGGGGACCCAAGTCTGTGGACACAACTGCACAAGTACGCACCCAGGAAAGAATACAGATATATTCATAGATATGTATGTACATATAAATACAGATGTACATTACTCACCTTCACAGCCAATTCTGTCAGAACATGAGTTATTCTGAATTAAATAAAACATTAGCAGAAATGTTAGCTGATTTTGATACATCTTTGTGACTGACAGAAATTCTCTTATGAAACACACAGGTATAATTGCAGATAGTTTACTTGTGACTGTGAAGTCCCTAGCCCCTTATGAACAATAAAGTAATTTGTCAATCCACGCCCTTCAAATCAAAATTTGTTCAACCTCATAAGTTTACTTTTTTTTAATCAAAAACACCCAACCCTGACAAAATAGACACTATTGAATTACAGTGAGGATAGTCAATAAAACCCTTTGTCAGGGTTTTAACCCAGTGATACTCAACCAACAACAATATATTTCTAAGTCATGATGGTGAGTGGATTAGAGGGGAACTTGCAGGGGCTGGTATTACATGTATCTGCTGTCCTTGCCCTTCTAGATGGTAGTGGTCATGGGTTTGGAAAGTGCGGTCTAGAGAGCTCTGGCAAATTGCTGCAGTGCTTCTCACAGATCATACACACTGCTGCTGCTGAGCTTTGGCAGCAGAGGGAAGGTGGTGGATGTGGTGCCAATCAAGCGGGGGCTGCTTTGTCCTCGATGGCGTCGAGCTTCTTGAGTGTTGTTGGAGCTGCACCCATCCAGGCAAGTGGGGAGTATTCCATCACACTCCTGACTTGTGCCTTGTCAAAGGTGAACCTCCTTTGGGGAGTCAGGAGGTGAGGTAATGATGGGAACTCTTGCCAAGTTTTGCAAATCTACCTAACCCTTCAGACAATTCAGACAATGCCAACATTATACCTTGGTTGGGTATTGTTGGTTGGGGAGCTCATTAACACATACTAGAGGTGGGGAGGGGATAGAGGCTTCCATAATGTTATTCCTGTCATCTACTGTTCTTTGGATTTAGACAAACGGGTTGAATCCCTAATGGAAGAGCACATACTCTCCGAAACAAGCCAACTGGCATTTTACCATGTGCACAGCCTTCAATACTTTGTCCAGGAGGCCTCTTTTTTGACACAAAGCGGAGGCTGCAAACAGAGTGGGCTCTGCATGGTCAATTGTCAGCTTTGGTTGTTCCTTTCATTTTTGGAAAATGACAAGACTGTCTCTCTCCAATATATGTCCCCCAACCCACCACCAGCACCATCACCAACTCCACCGCCACCTGCCTCAATTACTCACCTCCTGACCTGAGTAAAGTCCTGTTGGCTGCCTGGATTGTTCTAGAATGTATCTTAGCCTTCTCTCTGGGCTAAGTTGCTCTCCCAGGAGCCTGGCGAGATTTTTACGCTTAATGGAACCCAGCAAAACCTTGGACTCTGGAATAAATTAAAAGGAAATTTTATTTTACCACCTTTACAATCTTGTGCTAATCACAGATCCATCCCCTCCCTGACCATTTAGAGTCATAAAGTTGTACAGCATGGAAACAGACCCTTCGGACCAACTCATCCATGCCGACCAGATATTCTACATTAATCTAGTCCCCTTTGCTAGCATTTGGTCCATATCCCTCTAAACCCTTCCTGTTCATATACCCACCCAGATGCCTTATAAATGTTGCAATTGTACCAGCCTCCACCACTTCCTCTAGCAGCTCATTTCATACATGCACCATCCTCTGTGTGAAAAAGTTGCCCCTTAGGTCATTTTTGAATCTTTCCCCTCTCACTTTAAACCTACTCCCTGTAGTTTTGGGCTCCCCTACCCTGGGAAAAAGACATTGACTGCTCACCCTATTTAAGCCCCTCATGATTTTATACACCCTTGTAAGGTCCACCCTCAGCCTCCAATGCTCCAGGGAAAATAGCCCCAGTCTATTCAGCTTCTCCCTATAGCTCAAACTCTGCAACCCTGGCACATCCTTGTCAATCTTTTCTGCATCCTTTCAAGTTTAACATATCTTTCCTATAGCAAGGAGACCAGAATTGAACACAGTATTCTAAAAGTGACCTAACCAATGTCCTGTACAGCTGCAACATGACCTCCCAACTCCTATACTCAATGCATTTCGTCTTTAAAAATTTGGTCAGGGTCTCACACTCACACCACATAGTGTTTGCCCTGAACAGGTTAGTGCCTGCTGGGGTAGGATTCCTCCAAAATGGCAGCCCTTGTCAATCTTGCCCTTGCTGGAAAAAGATTAAATTATCCCCTCAATGCTGCGGGATGTCTGAGGCATCAGGGCTGGCCATCTTCCGCTAATGTAGAATGTCCTTGGGAATAGCTACATCACACAGAATTATATATGTAAGACAGATGGCATAAAACAGGCCATTCAGCCCATGTCAGTGTAACTGCTCCACTTGAGCTTCCACCCATTTTTCCTTCTATCAATCCATCCCTCGTCTATTCCCTCCTCCCTCACAATCCTAGTTGGTTTCATCTTAAATGCATCAATGGTGTTCATTTCAACCACTCCATGGTGGGAGTGAGTTTCACATTCCTACCACACTTTGGATGCTGAAGTTTCTTCTGAACACCTGAATGGATATCTTGGATGTTATCTTGTACTGACTGACCCTGGTTCTGCTCTTTCCCACAACAGGAAACATTCTTTCTGTCTCTACTTAAGACTTTTCAAAGACCTCTTCTAGAGGACGTCTCTGAAGTGCATAGATGCCCAGCCTGTTTATTCTTTTCTGATATGAATACACACGTACTTCTGGTATTATCCTGTGTAAGTTCCCGCTACACCCCTCTAGTGCCTTTCTATCCTTTAGATAAATATGGTCACTAAATTGTGTGTAGGTCCTCAGACTGAGCGCTAAGGACTGATGTCCAGCCTTCTGCAGAAACATTCAACCAAAAGCTCAAATAAAGATAATGGATGTACAGCCAGATTATCCAGCATCGTCACTATTAATTGACATTCTTTTCACATGGGGAGTAAAAAAATGTAAGAAGGTAGGAGGAGGCCATATTTCCCCTCAGCCACAAACAAAAACAGAAATTGCTGGAAAAGTTCAGCAGTTCTGGCAGCATCTGTGGAGAGAAATGAAAGTTAACGCTTCAGATCGAATGATCCTTCCTCAGAACTGATGGTAGGTAGGAAAATGTTGATTTTTATGGAGAAGATAGGATGGGGGGTAGAGGGTAAGGAGTAAACAATAGGGGGGGATAGAGTCCAAAGAGAGAGAAGAACAGTTGGACAAACAAAGGAGTGGATAATGATCTGGCTAGGAGGGTGAATAGCTATTAATGGGGACTGTTAGTGGTGAACAATGGGTTGTGTGTAATAGCAGACTATATGATAACAAGACTGATGAAGGGTCTAGGCCCAAAACGTCAGCCTTACTGATCCTATGATGCTGCTTGGCCTGCTGTGTTCATCCAGCTCTACACCTTGTTGTCTCTGACAACAAGACCTGGTGGGTGGGATTGGGGTAAGGACATGGAAGAGCTCAAGCCCTAAAGTTGGTGAACTTGATATTGAGTCCAGAAGGCTGCAGAGACCCCAAGCAGAAAACAAGGTGCTGTTCTTCCAGCTTGTGCTTAGCCAGAGATGTTGGCCAGGGAACAGGGTGGTGTGTTGAAGTGGCAGGCAACTGGAAGCTCAGGGTCTTTTTTGTGGACACCTTTTACCTCAACCTGTTTGACCGTTCAATCAGCTTGTTGTTTAATTCCATTTTCCCTCCTTGGCTCCATAGTAGGAAGAGATGGTCCCTTAGTGGGAGTGTCACTGGACTAGCCAGAGGCCTGGGCTAATGCTCTGGGTTCAAATCCCAGCTGGTGGAATCGAATGTCAATAAATCTGGAAGTCTCAATAATGGCAACTGTGATGACAATAATTACTTGTAAGAACCTACCCAGTTCATTCAAGTTCTTCAGGAGAAACCTTACCCGGTCTGGCCTACATGTGACACCACACCCACTTGCAATGGGATTGACTCTTAATTGCCTTCTGAAGTGGCTGAGCCACTCAGACCAAGAGGCAATTAGGGATGAGCAACAATCCTGGCCTTGCCAGTAATGCCCACACTCCATGAAAGAGTAAAGAATCACAATTAAAATTGATCAGAATCAAATTTGAAATTTTTAATGCATATATGTAGAATCTGAGATAGTAGGAACTGCCAATGCAGGAGAATCTGAGATAACAAGGTGTAGAGCTGGATGAACACAGCAGGCCAAGCAGCATCAGAGGAGCAGGAAAGCTGATGTTTCGGGTCTGGACCCCTCTTCAGAAATGGCATATAGAATTTGCCTTGTTCTGATAGTGAGATCTTCACTGTTGACAGTGAAGATCTTCAATTGACACAGAATTGTTTGATGTCTACATGGCTATGGACTTTCTACTGTGAGAGCTCCTCATTTGACACATGGAAAAGTACAGAGGTACCTGTTGAGTCAACAAGAGGGAATTGTTTCAGCTCTGTGTTCTTCAGCAGGTTTCGGATGTCTTTGTATGTCAGGTCCTTTGCCAGATATTTGAGGTCTGTCACCATAAAGTCTTCTGCATAGATATCATGAGCCCTGAAATAAGATCCCACGTGTTCAAGGTGCTCAATCCTGTAAAAGTCTAGTCATCAACAAGCTGTTCCCTGGCTTCTCATTTCTTTACTCCGTCTCCATCACTCCTGCAGAGTCCCATGGGACTTCAGTACTGCGGATAACTGTTGACCTGGACTGGTCAGCAGGGTCCAGCTATTTGCCAGCAAGGTGCATCACAGCCAAGTCGTAAGCTGTCCTCACCAATTATCTACAGACGAGTGCAGGCACCATGTGTGTGTGGATGCACACTCACGTAAACACAAACAATTGTGAATGAAGCTGAGTACTGGGCAATCATGCAATCATACAATCATGGAATAATAGAATCCCTACAGTGCAGAAAGAGGCCATTCAGCCCACCCAGCCTCTGAAGTGCATCCCACCCAGACCCAGCCTCCTGCCCTATCCCAATCATCAACAAATAGTTCCCAATGATGCAGGGAAGGTGATTGATGAATACGGTTAGACTTCAGACACTATTCTGAAGAATGTGTGAAGTGATATCTTGAGATGACTGGGCTCCAACAGCACCCCACAACTCAGCTTCCCTCTTGCCAGATCCGACCCTAGTCAGTGCAAAATTCGCCCCGCCCTTACCAATCCCAGGGGCTGAATCCTCACCTCCTCCCATCCTCCGTAAGACTTGCAGTGCTTTTCCCAAATCCCAGAGTGCTTTACAACCAAGGATGGGCTTTGGAGGTGTCATCATTGCGGTAAAGCAGGAAACAACAACAGCCAATGTGTGCACAGGAGGATCCCAAGCCAGCAATTTGATCACGACCAGACCATCTGAAATTTGAGGCTTTTTGGCTGACCCAGAGAGTGTGACCCACCAAGACCAGACTGCTGCGTGACACAGGACCAGGCATGTCGATTGTTTCTCTCACCCGCTCTTCCCTACCGTCAGCTTGGGCAGGTAGGGGAGCTTCTTCACGATGACAATCCCATCGAAGAAAGACGGCTGGGACCGCTGGCTGATCACGTTGGCGACCAGCACGGCGATGAGAACTGGCAGGATGTGGGACATCTGCCCCGTCAGCTCAAAAACCAGCACAGCGGTGGAGATGGTGTGGGTGACTGCCCCAGAATAGGCTGCAGCCCCTACAGAGAGGGAGAGAGAGAGAGAGAAAACACACACGGTAAGACAGAGGAAACTATCTGGGCTCTGTCCCTTCAGATGTTCTTTTATTCAAACGGAGGAAGCTTCAATCCCATTTGGGCATCTCTGAAAACATGCGGTTGATACAAAAACAGAAGTTGCTGGGAAAACTCAGCAGGTCTGGCAGCGTTTGTCCAGTGAACCTTTTTTCAGAATACCCGAAACATTAACTCTGCTTTCTCTCCACAAACTCTGCCAGACCTGCTGCGTTTTCCCAGCAATTTGTTTTCATTCTACTTTCCAGCATCCACAGTTCTTTGTTTTTTTTTGACACGTTGTTAACATTTTCCATCTTTTAGTCATCAGGACAGATGCAAGAATGTCAAATTTCAAAGGGAGCAACAATTTATACTACATGAGAAAAGGTTGCTGATTGGTTGGCAAGTCAACTCCGATTGGCTGAGGCACTTGAGGGAGGAACTACAGCCCCGACACTTCTGTTTAATTCAAAAATAATGCAATGCCTGAAAATGTTCCTTCTGCCTGCAGAGGACAGGTACCTTTGTATGAATATACATAGATCATAGAAATCTCAAATGAGCCATTTTTCTAGCCTGACTCATTTTCTGTTGACAGAAGCTAATATACACCAAAGGTGGTTTTATTAATACTATAGTCAAAGATGTGTTAGCACTGATGCTGCAAACCTGGAGGTTACAATGCTATATATAAGGAGAAAAGGTTCTGCAGGATCTATTATTGTCTGAAATTAAAGGCAGTTGCATCTTGGGAATTCTGGCTCTGAGGGAATGCTTGGAATACTTGGAATCTGGCAAATGACATTGTTCACTTTTCCATCTGGGATTTTGGTTTAATGGGATAGTTATTCCTTTTGTCAGCTGGGACTGTTGGACCATGTGTTTTTGGGGGAAAATCTCTATTTTATGTTGAGGCAATAATCCTTTAAAACTAAATTTCTCTGAAAGGCGATTACTTGAAATAAATGTAGCTTGCTTCCAGTAATTGAGCATGTGTCCAAGCTGCCTGGGAGATAATGGCAATGTAATATGGAGAACAGAAAGTTGATTATAAGGAAGGAGTACATTCCTGGATGTAGTTCCCTTTCTAACAGTTTAGTCTTAGAGTCATAGAATCATAGAGATGTATAGCACAGAAACAGAACGTTCCACCCAACTTGTTCATCCCATTTGCCAGCATTTGGCCCATATCCTTCTAAACACTTCCTATTCATATACCCATCCAGATGCCTTTCAAACGTTGTAATTGTACCAGGCTCCACCACTTCCTCTGGCAGCTCGTTCCATACACTCACCACCTTCTGCGTGAAAAAGTTGCCCCTTAGGTCCCTTTTAAATCTTTCACTTCTCACCTTAAGCCTATGCCCTCTGGTTTTGGACTACTGTACGCTGGGAAGAAGACCCTGCCTATTTACCCTATCCATGCCCCTCATGATTTTATAAACTTCTACAGGGTCATCCCTCAGCCTGTGACGCTCCAGGGAAAATAGCCCCGTCTATTCAGCCTCAGCATCTGGTAGCGATTAGTGAAACTGTGGGAACAAAAGCAAAAGGAAGAAATACAATGACAAATTAAAAAGCAGAACAGGTACAAGATTTGAGAGCGCCAAGATAGAGATTGCTATCAAAGACCATGAGAAATTAAGATGGTTATAACATCCAATGTTGTAAAGCATGGTACCTGAAGAAGTCAACACCTCTGGCACTTCTCCAGAATCCAACAATTTTTGGAAAATTACAACAAATGCTTCCACTATATCTGTAGCTATTTCTTTTAGCATCTTTTACAGACAAGCTATCAGGGCCAGGGGACTCATCTGCCTTCGGCCCCGTTAATGTGGAAAGGCTGCTAACATCATCAATGACCCATTGCACCCTGGTAATGATCTCCTACAATGTCTTCCATCAGGCAGGAGATACAGAAACCTGAACACACGCACCAGCAGGTTCAGGAACAGCTGCTTCCTGGACGGTATCAGACTGATGAATGGATTCTCTAGCCTCAAATAATGCTGATCTTGCTAACGTGGATCTCGCCTACAGCGCACCCTGTGCAATGTAATCTGCATGCCTCTGTCTAAGTCTTTTTGATCTGTACATTCTTTGCTTACTATGACCTGCCTGTACTGTTCACAAACAAAGCTTCTCATTGTATTTTGGTACACATGACAACAAATAACCAATCAATCAATTAATCAAATGATGGTACTTAATTCTTCCCCATATTCTTTAGCATTAATAGAAGTTCAAAGTGTCTTCCACCATAAAGACTGATGCAAAATATCTATTTAACTCCTCTGCGTTGTTCCCCAAAACTACCTCCCAGGTTCATTTGTTAAGGTGCCTATATTCTCTTTGACCTTCCTCTTCATATTATTAAGGAAGTTCTTCTTGTCAGTTTTTATATTTCTTGCTTGTTTTCCTTGCCGTTTATTTTCTGTGCCTTTACTCTCTTTTTAGTCCACTATTGCTTGATTTGGGAGTTATCCAAGGGTTCAGGGCTACCACTGACTTAGTAGAATCTCTACATTGTGGAAATAGGCCATTTGGCCCAACAAGTCCACACCAACCCTTAGAAGAGCATCCCACCCAGATCCATCCCTGTAACCCTGCATTTCCCATGGCTAATGCACCTAACCTACACATCCCTGGGCACTATGGGCAATTTAGAATGGCCAACCACCTAACATGCACATCTTTGGACTGTGAGAGAAACTGGAGGAAACCCACGCGTGGAGAATGTGCAAACTCCACACAGACAGTTGCCCAAAGGTGGAATTGAACTCGGGACCCCTGCTGCTGTGAGGCAGCAGTGCTAACCACTGAGCCACACTATTTCTTTCAACTTTGTACTCTTAGAACAAGCTGGATGCCAGGAACATCTCTTTTCAGCAGAATTTGGTTGAAATTCTGAACGAAGGTTGAAAGGTTTAAAAAGAAGCCTGGACAAATGTAACAGTGAGTTGGATTCTGGAATAACCAAGCTCTGAGAAAGCGAGAGAGAGGAAATTCTAGATGCAAGATTTAACTGTTAAAATATTGGGACCAGGAGAGTTCTGATCCAGTTTGGCTGTGCTTATGATCTATACTCTTATATTGAACTGTAAGTCCAGACTGTGGGACAGTAGGAGGTCATCTGAAGGAACAGGTTTGCCAAAGTTATAGGTAATTAGTTCTACCCTCAATGCAGAAAATAATCAAGACGGTATCTGTAAGAGGTGCCTGAACTATAGTGCCACTTTAACCACCAAAGGCAAGTTGCTAACATTTTGGGGCTGTGGTAGGAGGGGTCAGGAAAGAGGGTCATGATCATGATTTTTATACGTCTCTCTGAGAGGGACTCCTGTTTAACATCCTGGCTGAAAGATGGTCCTCCGGCAGTGAAGCAATCCCTCAGTGCTGCACTGGAAGAGTCAGCCAGAATTGAATACGAATTGCATTATATTGCTTATTATAGTTACCATAATTATTGCATTAGTTATACATTGAGTAAATTCAAGACAAAATTTGATGGATTCCTAGTTGCTAATGATATCAAGGGAGATGGGGATAATGCAGGAAAGTGGTGACGAAGTAGATGATCAGCCATGATTTAGAATCACAGAGCAGACTTGAGGGGCTGAATGACCTGTTTTTGCACCTACATTTCTATGAATGATGTTCTCTAATCTCTTGATTGAAGTCCGAACCCACAACACTGCTTCCCACAGTGACCACACTTCACAAGGAAGCCACTTATTGTTGAATGCTTCTAAAGGTCCTGAGGGCTGAGGAAGTTTGTACTCTACATTCAATCAATGCTCTCAGGGATGGAAATGTTAGGATGAGGACACAGTAATTTACTGGCTCCAAGATATGTGGAGGATGGCAGTGTGAACTAGTCCACACATCATGGAAACACCACAGCAGTTAGTAACTTTGGCACCTGTTGTCAAAGGGAGTAAGAGAACATGGCTATTTGGGACTCTAAACAGTGGCAACAAAACAAGTGCAATGATATAAAACATACTGAGACATCACCACCAATGGGAACAGTGTGTACCAATAAGACACACGGCAGCAACCCAGCTAAAGATGCAGCAATTAAAGTAGGGGTCCTGAAAAACATTGGATTTCAGAAAGGTGTGGTACTGCATGAGATTGCAAAGAGGGGGTAAGGCCGTGAAACAATCTTTCAAACAAGGATGAGAGTTGCTTGACAAGAAGTCAATGGAGGTCAGTCAGAACATGGGTGAATGGGACTTGGTGCAATTCACGATACAGAAAGTGGAGATTTGGAGCAATTCCCGTGTAAGGAAAGGACTGAAGGAATTCAGTGAGACTAATAACCTGATTTCCTGTTTCAGAATTCCCTCATTATTTCCCTCATCACTGTCACAGTGAAAGTCACTAAGGCAGATTATAACTCCCAACTTTCGCCAAAAGAATGTACAAAATTAAATGTGCCCAGTCACCTGCCAACGCATAACCTGAAGGAGTAATTTTGATGTGAATTCCTTCTGAAATGATTCCTTCCGGAAAGATCTTGGCCATAATCTCCCCATACAGACGCCCAAGTCCTGCACCTGTGAAAAGAGTGAGAGTTTGAGAATTTTAATAGAAATCTGACCATTCAAACATTCCCAGGACAGGGACAGCACGGGGTTAGATACAGAGTAAAGCTCCCTCTACACTGTCCCCCCATCAAACACTCCCAGGACAGGGGCAGCACAGGATTAGATACAGAGTAAATCTCCCTCTACACTGTCCCCCATCAAACACTCCCAGGACAGGGACAGCACGGGGTTAGATACAGAGTAAAGCTTCCTCTACACTGCCCTCCATCAAACACTCTCTGGAAAGGTACATTATGGGATTCGATACAAAGTAAACCTCACTTTACACCGTCCCCCATCAAATAATGCCAGGACAGGGACAGCATGGGGTTAGATACAGAGGAATGTTCACTCTCCCAGTGGACATGTCACCCTGGGTGTTGCATGGGTTAGATACACAGTACAGTCCTGTCAATATTCTCATAAAGCAGTAGAAAACTTATCATATACATCAACACAGTGACAGTATTGCAGAAGGTGCAGATCCTCACTGAAACAGCTCACATGGGGAAACTATTGAAATGATGATCTGCAGTTACACTCAGTGGTAAAGGGTTTTTTTAAATAAATGTTCGATTTTGGAGTGCTTACCATAAACAAAAACTGGTAGAAAGTAACCGGCAGGAACAACCATTGTCGTGGCCAACAGCAGCATGAAGAACTAAGAAAAAGTGAAAGAAATATTAAGAACACAAAACTTTACCTTCCTCAGGAGGTGTCAGCCCTGGCTCCCTCACTTCCAACACAGTGGCCTCAAGTATCACTTCCAGATACACGCTACATCATCTTGGGTGATGCACTCCACTGAGTTAGTGCTACATCATCAGTGGTGCCTTTTGTTTTTGGGTGAGACCTTATTCATGCCCTCTCAGGCAGATGTAAAACAGCCCATAGAAATGCTACAGTAGCAGGCCATTCAACCTCTTGAGTGTACTCTGCTAAGATCATGACTGATCTGGTTGCAGCCTCAACTCCCTGCTCCTCTCTGACAATTCACACCCTTATCTATCATAAATCTAACCAGTTTATCTGGGGCAGCATGGTGGCTCAATGGTTAGCACTGCTGCCTCACAGTGCCATAGACCCAAGTTCAATTCCAGCCTTCAGTAACTGTGTGGAGGTTGCACATTCTCCCTGTGTTTGCATGGATTTCCTCTGTGTACTCCAGTTTCCTCCCACAGTCCAAAATGTGCAGCTAGGTGGATTGGCCAGGCTAAATTTCCCATGGTGCCCAGGGATGTGCAGGCTAGATGAGGTATCCATGGGAAATGCAGGGTTACAGGGTTAGGGGTGGGATGTTCTTCAGAGGGTCCATGTGGGCTGAATGGCCTGTAGGGATTCTACGTTATTCAAAATCCCAGCTTCTGCTGACTTTTGGGGAGAGAATTCTTCAGATAAAAGATCCTCCTGGTATCCAACCTTTCCAGGTTCACACAGCATCTTATATGTTTCAATAAGATCAGCTCTCATTCTTCTAAACTCCCATGGGTAAAGACCCAAACTGTTCAACCTTTCTTCATCAGACAGGCTCCGCATCTCAGGATTGAGTCAAGCCTCTCAGAACACTCTGGCTAACGTTTACCCCTCAGACAACAATTCCATTGGAAGTTATGCTGGATTTTATGCTAATTTGGAATCTAAGCATTGTACGTTTTGCAGAATCAGGTCATCTCCTGACACTTTTACAAATAGTGGGTAGGACCCAGATCCAAATGTCATTTAGCCATCGGATGAAAGATGCATTACATAAAACACATAGGTGGGAAATCTGAACTCAGAAGGGCCATTTAGTGCTGAATTCAAAGTACATCCATTTTTGCCCTTCCAAGGCCAGTAATCAACAGTGTGGGAGTCATGAGCAGTAATGAACACTAGTGATGGATGAATAAGGTCTGTTTAAGTTTTACAATCTAACAATTATTAAATGCCCGGCCCTATAAATACTGAAAAAGTGGCTGAAGCTGTAAGTTTATATTACCTGCTAGACTCCTTTGATTGGTGAATCATCTGGTATTTAGAAAAAAAATTCTATCTCCTCCTGCAGTTTCAATCGAGTCTTTTTTGATATTTTTCACGGGTTTATAGTTGACATCATTGTGAATGTTTGCCAGGATTTCAAAAAGCCACTTGCTCAGCTTTGTGAGGACGTGTGGGGTTGATATTATTTTGATTGATTATTTAAAGTGGCTATTAAAGGATTATCTGCCCCTGATGTGGTTACTGAACAGAATTTTGTTTTTATAACGCATTGAATATTTCATTGAAAATCTTTAAATGGGTTTTGTGAATGGGACATTCTTTTCAGTGTCAAACACATGTGAGAAATAGCTGTCTTAAACATAGAACATAGAAGAACATAGAACAGTACAGCACAGGACAGGTCCTTCAGCCCACGATGTTGTGCCAACCTATTATCCTACTCTAAGATCAAACTACCCTGCATACCAGAGATAGTAGGAACTGCAGATGCTGGAGAATCTGAGATAACAAGGTGTAGAGCTGGATGAACACAGCAGGCCAAGCAGCATCAGAGGAGCAGGAAGGCTGACGTTTTGGGCCTAGACCCTTCTTCAGGGAAAAATGTCTTTGGTGGTGGGGTCGGATTGCAGATGGCGGA